TTGAAATAGAAAATGAATATTATGATGATGATTACGTTAATTTACGAACAGATGACGAGAATCTTTTTGTCATTCATATAATGTAGATGACCAGCTGTCACTAAATCCTTATATAGCCTAATAGATGAGTTCCCATTTTTTCAAACTTTTACTACTCCATCCTTCAAGTAAACAACTGTTTACAAAGTTCATGTTTGTCATGATTAGTCCGTACTTTTCTTCCTATATGAGCATTTGTGTATACGGGTGTGTTTGTTGCATACAGATTAATTTACGCAATTAATAGACACAATCCAATTTCAAGCTCTATTGATAAAATTTCATCAATTTTTCCTTTATTGAATAGTTTCAGTATTATAATTCTTTTTCATAGTCTTACTTTCCCTGTCTTTTATATTTACTGGTTGGAAAAGTTAAGTTTTGCTCTTTTCTGAATTCTCTGCATACATGTTACTTTATACCTCTACATTGATTTATAAATGACTTACGTTTTCCCTTCGTAATCACCTAACAAAACGATGAATTTTTGAATATTTATGTGATACTTTGGTGTATTTCGAAATAAATCCATGGACAAACCGATGAGAATATAATGGTACATTCAATTGGTGCAGCCTGTTACAACCACCTGCTTAGATGGGTTGATTACGTTCGTTCCTAATTTTCTTTTCTTTTCATTTCTTAACATTTTGGCAGTATCAAAACCCGCTTAATGCTGTTTCACAGACTTTGCTCCTGTCCTTTATGTGCTAAGTTAACGAATCAGTAATTGTTTAGTGAAATGAAAAAGGAGTTTCAAGGCAAATGAATGTTGTTCACATGACTAAGTTATTTGGTCCTACCCATCCCGTATAATACTGGAAAGTAAACGTGAATGACGTTTTCCATAACCGATAGTTTAGCCTGCGACAATGATGCCTAACTCATCAAACTATTTGCCCAAACAGTTATCATGTAGAATCATCTTTAGCATAGAAGAAATAAATAGTCACTTTGAGGTTTGTGGAGGTTGAATTTCAAGACTATATTCATCATAAATTGACATCATTTGGAGGACTACCAAAAACCTGGAAGCACAGGAAAGATGTTTCGTGCCAACATGGCACTCCTCAGCGGTACGCATCTGTGACCCTCATGAACCCCAAACTACACTATTGTATAGTACTCATTAGTGACGTGCTTCGAGATAAATATCTTGAAGTTCTAATGACAAACATGGACCTGTGAGGACACACAACTGGCAGTAAAAGGGAATGCCCACTGAAGAATCTGGTAGATACTGGCACTGTTTCACAAAATGAAAGGACGGAACTGATGACTGCTGAAATCCAACTCAATGACTGAGTGGTTCGAGTCTCTGTCGTGAAACCTGAAGGTGACTAGCTCGTTTCCTTGTGGGTACCCCAGGGGAGTGCTATACTAGGACGAAATGGCTGTCCAGTGCTCCCAAGTTTTCAGTGGCTCTCTAAATGACGGCACTATGTGGTAAATACAACCTTGGAAAATAAATATTTGTTACAACTAAGTATCACGGAAATGGAATGAGGATAAATATTTTGAATCTAGTAAACGAAGGGAAACCTCGCTTGGTTACCTAGTTCACTAGTTACTACCCAGTCCTAAGCCGGGGTAAAGACGGAAGGTTGGGCGTAGGGTTAGCAACCCTACCCCGTAAAATCAATCCAACCGCTGAAGAAACTTCAAAGCACAGACAAGATATAAAGCAAAAAACAAACTTATTCCTCGCTGGAATCGGAGAGATGAAATGACGCCAGTTGATGAAAGCCTCAGGGAAGCCAATTGGCCGATGTGTCTTCTCTCGATGAAAGCGAGAGTAAACGTGGGGATATGGAATGTCCGCACCATGTCTGGACCTAGCAAGGCAGCCCAGATTGCAAACGAGATGAGAAGGTATCACACTGAAGTGCTAGGAATTTGCTAAAGCAGATGGAATGGAAGTGGACTGTCCAAACTGTCAACTGGAGGGTCAGTAATCTACTCCGGTCACCCAGACGACAACCACGAACACACTGAGCTTTGGAGTGACTATCATGATGTCCCAAAGAGCATCAAAGGCTCTCATGCAGTGGGAATCAATCTCCTCCTCCACGATCAGGATCATGACAGCAAGATTCAACTCAAAAGGAAGAAAGGTCACAGTCATACGATCCCATTACTACGCACCTACAAATAACGCAGAGCAAGAGAAAAAGAAGGAATTCTACAGACAACTGCAACCAACACTGGACAAGACCTCAGTTGGCGACATCAAAATTCTAATGGATGGGGTGACATGAATGCCAAACTGGGAGGGGACAACACAGGAAGAGAACTAACCATGGGTCGAGAAGTGCTAGGTGAAATGAACGAGAATGGAGAATTATTTGCAGAATTCTGTGCATTCAACGACTTGATGATTGGAGACACTGTGTTCAAGCACAAGGACATTCATAAAACAACATGGAATACATCAGACACCAGACACACTAAAAATCAGATCGAATTGATCTCGATGTGAAGAAAGTGGAGATGCAGCCTCCTCAACACAAGGTCAAGAAGAGGAGCAGATGTAGGCTCAGACCACTATCTAGTGCAAGGAACCTTCAAAATCAAGTTGGCAGTCTTCAGGGAAGTTGGTGATAGACCACAGTTCAAGTTTAACACCCAGAAACTCTCAGACGAAATTACAAGGAACATCTTCACATCAGCCATCAAGACAAAATGGGAGATATCGAGCAACATCCTTGAAGAAACCTGTTTGGATTAGCACTGGAAGTCTCTGAAAGAGATGTGGAAAGAAACCTGCACAACCGTATTAGGAAGGAAGAAAAAAGAAGATAAGGAATGGATCTCGATGGATACATGGAAGCTGATAGAGGGGAGGAGGATGGTGAAGCAGAAGATAAACCAGTGCAAGGATGCTCAACGAGAAGAGGAACTGAGCACAATGTATAAAACACTACACTGGACAAAGAAGTGAAGAAGAGTACACGCAAAGACAAAAGACACTTCTACAAAACACTGGCAAGTGAAGCAGAGGACAGGCTGCAGGTAGAGAGACCTGGCAACATTGTATCAAATAACCAAGTACTATCTGGTAAGATATCAACACAGATGAAACCAATAAAAGATGATGAAGGAAATTTAATTACCAAAGAAGACAAACAAAGAAAACGATGGGCTGACCACTTCAAGAAGCTCTTGAATCGACCACCACCTGCACTTCACTCAGAAATACCACCTGCCGCCCAGCCACAGAACTACGAGTGAACATACATCCTCCAACAAAAGTCGAATTCCTGAGCGCCATAAAGTTACAGAAATGCGGGAAAGCAGCAGGACCAGACGGGATACCGCCAGGTACAACGGCGGACATGCTCACACCACTATTGCAGAAGGTGTGGAAGGAAGAGAAGGTACCTGCTCGTTGATTGGAAGAAAGGCTACCTTGTCAAAATCCCGAAGAAGGGCGACCTAAGTGTTTGCAAGAACTGGCGCGGAATCACGCTCCTGTTCACCCCAAGCAAAATATTACGCCGCATCATACTGGAGAGACTGAAGGATGTGCTGGATTCAAAACTACGACCAGAACAAGCTGATTGGATTCAAGAAGTACAAATCATGTGTGGACCAAATTGCAACGCTACGCATCATCATTGAACAAAGTATAGAATAGCAGGCAACTGGGTCTTTAGCTCAACTTCATCAACTTTGAAAAGGCTTTGGACAGCGTCGACCGACAAGTAATTTGGCAACTGCCTCAACACTACGGAATACCACAAACCTTTATCAACCTGATTCAACAACTGTATGAAGACGCCACATGCCAAGTCATTCACAATGGTAAGCTCAGTGATGCCTCTGAAGTGAAGACAGGAGTAAAACAAGTTTGCCTACTATCACCCATGATATTCTTGATTGTGGTTGACTGGACTGGATCATGCAACAAACAGTGAGGAGCAAGAAGAGGGGGATACGCTGGACTGCGGAAAAGAACCTCGAAGATTTGGATTTCGCCGATGACTTGTGTCTGATGTCACACAAACTTGAAGATCAACAGGCGAAAACTAACAAGTTGACAGAAGAGGTAGGGCAGTGAAGACAGGACTTCAAGTGAATATAGGGAAGACAGAGGTGATGATGATACCCAACCAACACCACCACCGCCACCACCAACAAGCTCAAATCACTATCAACGGGAGAAACTTAAAGGAAGTAGCTTGCATCGACTATCTAGGCAGCACTCTTTCAACCACAGGCCGCACAGGCACAAACGAGGACGTCAAAGCAGCCGGGATCGGAAAAGCAAGACAGGCTTTCATTAGCCTGAAACCAGTGTGGAGATCATTTACACTCAGCATGTGGAACAAGATGCAGATTTTCAACACCAACGTCAAGTCAATGCTTCTGTGTGGCTCATAGACTTGGTGCTTTACGAAAGAGTTTTCCAGCAAACTACAGACACTCATCAACAGCTGCCTACGCTCATCACTGAAGAGCAGATAGCCGGAAATAATAAGCAACAAGGAACTCTGGCCTGGCAACGAACCAACCAAGAACCTATCACTCAACAAATATGCAGGAGGAAGTGGAGATGGATTGGGCATACACTAAGAAGGTCGACTGTGGACATCACGCGACAGGCCCTCGAGTGGAATCCAGATGGGAAGCGACGAGTTGGGCGTCCCAAGTGAGGGTGACATGGAAGAAGATCGTATGAGGAAGAAACTAGAGCTTGTGGGCTGTCGTGGAACCAGGTCCAAAAGTTTACAGAGAACAGAGTGAACTGGAGACGTGCTACTGAAGCCCTGTGTCCCATTAGGAATCCAAGGGACAAATAATAATGTGGTTATAAAACGAATGGAAGTCAGTATCTCAAAATGGGCAAATGTGAAAGACTACGTGTAACTCATACATACAGTTTAAAATTGTGAATAACAGTTAGAGCTCCTAACATTAGGAGGACAGTAACAAATGAAAACATCACCTCAGACACTTACTTCGTCAGCTAAACGTTGCTCCTCTTCTTCAGCAGCCGTCAATTCTTGAGCATTAGCTAAATTATCCACTGCGATAGCCAAGAACACATTCAACAATGTATCTAATTTTGTATGTAAAGGTCTCATATATTACTGTAGTGCTAGAAGACACAGGTTAGCGAGTATATTTCACAACATTTGACAACATTTATACAACGTTTCATAAAACTCTTCATTTATATAACATTCTAAGTAAACACTATGGTTACATTATTCATAATATAGTTGTCTGTAACTTCTTATGGAATATAAATATGTACTCTTTTGAATTTAGATTACTTGTAAATTTGGTTTATACCGATAACTATGTATACGCTGAGATGTAACTCGAAAAGAATAAATTCAGGTTTTTGATGCAAATTATTGGTAACAACACTTAGTTTTTGAGAGCTAGTGATAATACGTGACCATTAAAACCTTGTCAGCTGGGCGTGATGTCCGAACTCACGTATCCAACAGGTGAAAGCAGGATGCTTGAGGTAGTCAGCCACAGTTCCATTATAGTTGTCACTATCAACAAAATTATCGTAATAGAATCGAAGCAGAAGTATGAGTGAAAAAACTGACTAGAGAATGTAATAAAATAGTTGAGACAGATGGTATGAGAAACTTTATTTGCTGACACATTGGAATTTAGAAGTAATGGATAGTAAAAGCTGAAAGCCATGTGTTGTACTCTAAGTGGAGTGACCTCAAGAGCAGCTCAAGATTTCGCAATCTTTTATCAGATGAATAGTTCAAAATTCTATGAAAATAACTGGCAGGAAGTTTTGACTATAGACCTTAAGTCTGTCAACGTTTTTGCATCTAGAGAAATTTCCAGTTTTCTTAATTATTTGAAATGGCGTCAAAGTGTAAAACTTTATAGGTGAAGTAAGAAAGTCATAATTGACTATCTCTGAAGGTTCTATATTAAAGTTTCTGAGAGAATATCAGTTTATCTCAGAGAGTAGAGGTATATTTCATATTTGGTGAAAAGTGCAAAATATAAGTTGTGGGTATTCAGCTGCGTTATGTTTAGTCGTTTCTCACTTGATTCGGTTCGATATGAAAGTGAGCTGTTTAGTATGTTAGCCATACGGCAACTTCATCTAGAAAATATGGTGAAAGGTTACGGGGAAACAAAATAATACTTGTTACTTCCACCTTTCGGTCTGCCAAAGACCCTCATATTTCAGCAAATAATGCGAGTAGAGTTCTGAAAACAGGTGTAATACCTATTTTGTCTGGTAGCTTGTCTTAGATATCACCAACGTGTTTGTTCATGATGACTGAGTTGTGTGAAACTTAAAGGAAGCCTCAGATGAGTTCTATTTTCATATGTAGGCATAAGTATCTTTATGGGTGTGCACTGGTGAATAGTGCTGTACTAGGACAAAACGGTTGTTCACTGCTGTCAGGTTTTCAGTGTTTCTCCAGTTTGTATCAGTTTGTGATAAAAACTCACAAACCTCGAAATTAAAATGCCCAAAAGGATACAATTACCGAACAGCACTAACAAGACAAAGTAAATACAGTACACGAATCCTCCATTGTTAACACCTCCTTGAGAACGAATTCCATCATACATAATCATATTCCAATCTTCTCCAGTTAAAATCTAAATGAAAAGCGAATAAATACAGAAGATAGAAAGTCAGTACACACTGTCTAAATAAGATACTTTCACTGGCGGTAATTAAAACTTTTTGTTATAGAACTTTTATCGTCGATATCTGGATTCTCATTTGAATATTAGGACTACAATACTGACTCACAATCTGATCAGTTTACCAGTAAGAAGTGGGAATCTGTCCAAAATTGATTCCAATGTCTACGGGGTTTCAAACACAACTGAATCTGCCATATGGTCTATTGTAGGTTCTTACTCAAGTGAAGAAATGTATCTTTTTAGCACCCTCATTACCTTGTGTATATTGTTTCGGAATTTTTTCCGGATCAGATAATCACGTGTTTTCGTTTAGTAACTGAGTAAATGTGTTCTGATATACTTTGGTATCAGTTGGCAATATGTTGTTGTAAATGGTATGAACAGTTACGACCGTGTGGCTTCCGTTTTCATTCCATAATATTTCTTCAAGATATAAATGTAGATTATTAGAAAACACTTATAATGTAAAATAAGGCTAGACGGCAACAACTTTAAAATAAATGGAAAACAAATGAAATAACAGATCTGAATGGAATCTATGGCTAAGAAAATTCCATAAATGTGGTTAGAATCTTACCATGCATAAATTTTAATAAGCAGTGATGATTTAGGCTGACAATTTAGCGTTGATTCACTGCTCAACATCATAGGCTTCAAAAGTGCCCATAAAAAGCTGTAAAATACTGAATATTAAGTAACTGAATTTTTCAGAAGTTGATAAATTTCATGCATTTAGATCCCTTGATAAATTTGGATCTGACACCATTGCCCAAAATCGAAATAAAACAACTACTACTCCTTTGCACGAAAATTGTAAATGTCCAGTTCAATAACTGGCTATGGATTCCTATCTAGGATCTATCCTGACAAATAACTTTATGGGTTATTTTGAACTGAGAAGCCTGAGTTCAGTCATCTGAAGAACAACCTATTACCACAGGTGATTTGATGACACCTTTGTTCTTTCTAATGATATGAAACGTGCAAGTGAGTTGTTTGATAAGCTAAATGAAGCTCATCTTAACATTAAATTTACGAGCATGAAAACGAGTTCAGCTTTTTTGCACCTGAAGGTGAGAAAAAGAACTGACGGTAAGATTTAAAAAACTATCCATGGAAAAAACAAATGCATTGGACAATATCTTAACTATTACAATTTCTGTTCTGTCAGCTATAAACACTTTACAACACAGCTATGAAATTATGCCCTTCGGATAGGTTGCAGGAAGAACTAAAGCGTATTGAAAAGTGTCTCCAAGAGAAAAGATATCCTTGGAGAGTTATTATGAATTATGGAAAAGAGCAGATCCAGAGAAATAGGCAGCCAACTGGGGAAAAGAAGGTTTTTATACACTTTACATTCAAGGGAGAAACAGTATCCAAGCGAATAGACGCAAGAATCAAAGAAGCACTGAGGAGGAGCTTTGCAGCAGCTAAGCCTGTATCAGTATACAATACCGTGTGCCTTTTGAACTAGTCCAAGCTAGACAGTTACCCTACTCATCTCACCTTGAAGTGAATTTACAAATTGGCATGCGATTGTGGTAGCAAGTGCATTGGAAAGAGTGAGAGGAGGGCATCCATTATTTAACTCACACAGAATATCTCCAAGAATCTACCCTTAAAAGTAAACAGAATTCCAACCAGTAAAATTGCCAGACCCGTCTACCCACAGGATGTCAGGTTGAAACCTCGAGTACTTTTAAATTAATAAACATATAAAAAAGTGTATGAATTACTCTGTTTTACGGAAGCGGTTACAATAAAAGGCATCCAGCCTAACCTTTGGTTTGAGAAGAAGATTGTGGCTAGTCTCTCACTCTTTTGGTGAATATGACATGATCCTGTTTCATTTTCAATCTAATTCAATAACTTTATTTATTTATTCATTATTATTTTTCGTTTCCTACATTTCCTATCTCTATACAAATAATTGTCTTACATGTTACATGGACTAACAACTGTATTATTGTATGACTTTAGATTGTTGATTACCTAACTTTGAAATGTCTTATGTCCTAATAATCATCTTACTTCTAGACTGTATACAGCTGATGAGTGTTGGTGAAATAATATGGGGATTTCATTTGATTATGCAAACCTCTTCCTTCATTCTTTGTCCTAAGTTAATAAATTAATCTCTTTCTCAAATGAATAATCACTAAGGCTTACGGCAGAAAAAAGCAATTATTTTCGTTGGACGAAATTTCATGGTCAGGTGATTTCAGTTAAATAAATTGGATTGTTTAAACAGTTAAAAGACTGTAAGGTTTAACGGAATGAATTTTTTATACGGCTATATTTATAACGTTTTGTTTACTAAATTATTTGTATAGTGATACCATGCGGTAAATATAAACTGTATTCAACCTTTACCAACAGGTATGAAAGCTGTTTCCAAGAATTTTTGATATTTACTTACAACTAAAGAAATTAAAGTGTTCTGATACTGATGACAATATGTTTAAAAAAGTGCTTCTTTTCCAGAGATGATGTAACCAATAATTATCAGTACTACTTTCTGGGAAAAAAGTGATAATCAATTCTGTGGTGTAGTTCGATGTCCATGAAGAATATTAAAACATTTCATGATAACTATCAACAAAAGTCTGTTAAATATATATCGACTGAATTAACCAGAGGTTATTAGACCTCATTATTGCCAAGTATGAACCCATCAGAAAGTTATCGGGATTTTGTATTGCTGCAATTTCTTACAGCTTGAAGTTGATTATAAAATAGATATTAGTCTGGAATGATGTTCATGTTGTAGAAGGCGCTTCAGGTGTAGTTGTTGACGTTCCCTAAAAATGATTGGTTATCACTCAATAACTTATCTATTCAGATATAAAAATTCACAGTCGACTGTCTATTTGTTTAGATGATGCTATGATCTCATCAGTTATGCAACCCGGAAGGATAAAGTTTGCTTCTTTTTCTCTACTAAAAAAATAGATGAAGTATCTTTCCTTTCTCTCCAGGAATTTCATTTTTTAGCTTTATTCAAGTAGCTAGCAAGAGTTTATTAAGCTCCCGTCACAGAAATTTATTGCTTGAATTTGTAATTGATTTGTAGAAGGACAGATTTTGTGATAAACATTAATGGTTTGTGAATATCTTTCGTAATAATTCAGAGGGATTGAACAGAAAAACAACCTTACCACTGACTAAACACTTTCATATCATTAACAAGAATGAATCAGTCCTAGGTGATTATGATTGTAGTTCAAGGGGAACTCTAGGCAAAGACAGCAGTTAAACCAGTGTCCACAGGACAGATTTACATTTCCCCTTTCAGTCACCACCCAGTATCAATAAAGCAAGTCCATCGATCCACGGCCATCTCAGACAGTCAAACTGATATGGACCCATCAAGCAAATCAAGTATGTACACTAACAAATAATGTTAAAAATTTCGGTTTGTTTAAATAATAAAGTAAATCTTTGAAAAATGTATATAGTCTCAAAAGAATAAAACAGTCAGCTAGAATGGTGCTTGCACAAGAAAGTTTAATGCTTTTAGTAACATTATTTATTAAAAAGATAGTGAAAATGAAGTATTTATGAATAATACACGAATGAGAGTCATTCACCAGTTCAGTTTAAGGATATCTGGACATCAATAGTAATTTCAGAGCTAGTAATTTTACCACAGTTTTGGGGTATTAAATTGTATTTTATCTAGCATGTGACTTGTATTCTTGTTGGACAGTTGACTATTGACATAACGAACTAGGTTGGTAATCTAACTAACCTGTGTCATTTATTGAAAAAGAGAATGATTTGTATGTCAAAATAAGTGAAATTTTAATGTACTTACCTGAAATACAGTTAATAGAGCTTTTACGAATGTATCGAAATTCTGACCTGGTTTGCCATCGTCAAAATTAAACCTTTCGATAAATAAACAGAATTGTTGAATAGACTGAATTTGATAAGAATAGTAAACTCTATGAAAGAAGATACTCCAGTCTGTTAAAAAGTTACCTTATGTAAACTAAATTTCAAAATCAGACTCTTCGACGCAAAATAACTCATCTTTATGTTACTGAAGCTGGTGGCAATGAAAGGGCTGGTCAAAAACTAGTGTGTTTAGCAACTTTTTGACCATTGAGATTAACAGTAATTTCTATTAGTTGCTATCGATTTTATCTAGAGACTATTTGGGAAAATGTCTCAGCAAGTAAACTGTTTATATTTTCAAAGTTTAGTGAGTCTGAACATGCCATTTTGATGTTAGATGCAATGCTTAGGTGTCGCATATGAAGACGAAACACTCGTCCATTACTCTCAGGATTTCAGTCTTCCTCTAACTGCTGTCAGTACATGGTGAGTACCAACTTGAAATCAAGAAGTCCTCAAAATGAATTTATGAAGGCAAAAACCCAGTAATAACAGTTGAGTGCTGAAATTTATTTTCCCAATGGTTCCCAATATTGACTTCGTTTGTATTACAGACAGTTTAAAATGTGTTTTACACGTATGTCGCCTGAACATTGGCCAGGCCTTTCGGATTTATGCCAGTGAACAACAGCCTATTAGAACTTCGGTGTTGAACTAAAATAGAAAGACATATTGTTTATCTCATAGGTTAGTCGGTTCTGACTATATTCAGTACTTGTTGACCATTCTGCATGCTTAGGCTTGATGGTTGGCTTAAAGATGATATCGTCAGAAAGTTGTAGGTCTGACTGTATGAGTCTTCATCATGTGCAGCTTTAGGTATATTCTTCAATGCAGACGAAAAAACCTAGGAGGAAGACGGCGTGCAGACAGTATCTTTAATCCAAGAGAGTAACAGCGTAAACCGTTAATGCTCAAGATTCACACAAAACCGGGCTTCCAAGATTCTATGTACACATACATGAATCTTAAAATCACCTTTGTTGGTGGTTACCTCAGTTAAGAATAGTTTTATTCAATTTTATTACTGAAATGTTTCAATAATGCTCTGCATGTTCCAGACATTTATAAAATCTTTTATGTTCTAACCAGCTTGATGATAATATTTGTAAGTACAGGGCGGAATGACTCAAGTTCAAATCGATAAGTGCTCACCAATTCCATCTAAGTTGCAGAGATATATTTGGTGAGTACCAGCGGATACAAAAGTTATATATATATATATATATATATATATATATATATGTTCACACACGAACAATAACCTTCAAATTCCACCTTTGATGGTCACAATGTAGTTCAGTAATTAGAAAAAGCGGTAAGAAAACAAGTGTATTGAAACGTCAAACTATGTACGAAATACAACGGTTTATATATATGCGATGGCCTCGACTATTTCTAGACCATTCCAGAAGAACATATCCAGTCGAATTCGCCCCTTCAACCATTCAAATATTAACACGTAAGATGACAAGCTTTTTCCGAAAAATTCGAAAAAAAAATGATTGGTCGTGAAAGGCTTTGGGGATTTAGAGTTTCTTGTATGTACATGGGCAATATCAATGTATACTGTAATAATATGCTACTCAGTAGAGAACTTTGAAGTCCTTCTCTAGGTATCTCAGGTTTTAATCTATTTCAAAACAGTTAAATAAAAGGGATTATGTTGTTTGATAGAAAGTAGACTCATATAGCTCCCTGATATTTTCTGAGATGTCTTTAATAGATTACAAAAGTGTTGCAAGGATAAAAATGCAGTTCCTGTCATCATCAAACCAGTGCCTAGGGAATTTGGTACCTGCGTAGAGATAAATTTTAGGATGTTAGTGTTGATAACGAAATATACTGCTAAACAATTTGAGTAGTTAGAAACCGCGCAGGCTGTTCTGCAGAATTCACCTCTCAATTAGAAGTGTTCCAAACACCAGATGGCCATGCCTCTCTTTTAGGACTGGGCTTATCAGCGACGCACCCAGACAAATTCTGCTCACAGAGCCAAATTTTACAGACCACTTCAATCTGTTTTACTGATGTTTATAGACCTAAAATAGGATGATTCATATACAACTGATCAACCACGAAGTGAGAAATAAACTTCACAAAGATTAATTATGATAAACTTACTCTCCACCAAACAACTGCATTCCAAGTAATGCAAATATTAACATGAATAGGAAAAGTAGAAACAGAAGACTGAGTATACTTCGCATAGCATTTAATAGGGATAAGACCAGATTGCGTAATGATGCCCAGTATCTAAATTTTGAAGGCAGATAAACGAATATACGCATAAAGAGAGTATTTCAAGATAACTAACTAATATACAGTAGAAATATCCGTTCATATGCTGTAAAACTGAGTGATTTCACCAGAGCAAATACATTACAGAATATAAAGTTTGAATTCCTCTGTTAGAAATTAAATGACGTATCAAGTTTTAAATAATCTTATATTTGGTTTTATAAAAAGGTAATTTCGATGTTTACTAGAAATTAATTATTAAAAATATAGATGATTTATCAGGTGGATTTTATTCATACTAGAAGGCAGTGGAAATAAGGAGATGAGCTCAGTTTTACTTCAAGTACATCAGTTTGGAGTTACCTTCACTTCACTGAGTCTGATTCTTTTGCATATGATTTCAACCAGATGTATGTCATTTGACTTCCCTATTCCAACATGAAAATACAGTTTATCAAGGTATCGCACCACTTCTCTGTGTGATCATCTAGAAAAAATTGATTGGTAGTCTTCTACGAACTATAATCTCTAGGGTCTGGACAACTATCAAGGTTACTTACTGCTGACCAATTCCTATATCGTAAGTGTTGCTCGTAATAAACCAATTTCCAGTATTACTTATAAAAAAAATTCTAAATAAGATAATAAGATTGCTGAAAAGTACTCTGTGATCAATATAACAGCATTTTTCCTGTAAAATAGCTTATGCAGTAGGTAGGTAATTAATAATGCAAACGTCATTAATTTAAGTACTAGCAAAGTTTTTAAAAAACTATGATCTCTTAAATTATTCAGCATAAGGATAGATATTATGTTATTGCCTTTACTTTCACATCGTTGACTAGTAAGAATTGATCGGTCTGTATTAGCTGATGGGCTTGTATGTGAATGCCTTGACACTGATCGTAATTTAGGTGGCCTAGTGGATAACACTGTGAATTTTGAAGCAGGTGACTATCGGTTCGAGTTTTAGTAAGAAGAATGTCACTCACTTGAAGACTGGTGCATCTAACTTATGAGTCCAAAATAGGATGAAATGTGCACCCGGGACCTCAGTGTTAGTCACTGTCTATCAATACTATCAAAAGGACAGATCTTTGGTGAAACATTGTATTGACATCTATCAGTCTGGGACTTGTATACTATTTAAAAAGTTCCCACAAATGTAACCATCAGCTAAGAAGGCTTTTTAAAATATCTGGTTTTACTTATTCATTGCCTAGAGATCAGAGTAATATCAGTAACTTAAAGTAAGTCAGCAAAGTACTGTAACTTTTAACGTATACTTGTAACTGAAAGACAAAAAAGATGTATCAATAGCATATATGAAAATAACTCTATGGTTAATTACCTTTGTGAGCTATGAGTGCGAAATGATTCTGATTATTATGCTGTTAAAGTTTAACAAGCGTTACAGCCAAACTCCAGTCACCTATGCCGTTCTAGACAATTTCCGAAAGACTTCTACTCTATTGTGAGGAACAATATTTGCAACTTCACAGTCGGGTCACCCTAACTGTTTATGTACGATATAGAGAAGAGAAATAAGAATGACAGCCAACAGTTAACCTGTGGTACTATTAATGAAGATCCTTACATCCATCTGTGATGAATTTCCTCTTCATAGGTTGTAGAATACACTACATTTCGCTCCTCGTTTGGGGACTTTGGATATATTGAAGGGATTCACGGTATTCTTAGATGAAACTTGCACCCAGCTGATATGAGGTATTAGAAGGACAAATTGTATGACAATGCATAGGGGTGAACATTACTACTTGAAAGCATTCAACGGTTCTAGCAGGCTGAAAACGCAGGTTTCCCAGAACCTAATTTAATCCAACAAGAAATGTATGCTTACTACATAAACTGGAAGAAAATATGGAATTTCTGTAAAAGTATCTGTCCTATAAGAAGTTTTTTCAAAGATTTCTTCAAAACTGTATAAAATAAGGAGAAAATAAGATAGGAATTTTTATATCTTAGACAGAATATCCAAAAATCTTAGAAAAGGCTGGGGAAAGGATTTGGGCTGCGTAAGTGAAAAACTCTCTAGCTCCTAAACTTTTTATCTTTCACAATGATGTGTAAGCTTTGTATCAGTCAGTAACACTTAAATGCATATTAAACATGCTGCTCATCAAACTCCCCTCTTTTTATCAGAGTTCATTTATATGTGCATTCATCGTGAATTAGTTTGATGGCTTTGCTGAACATTCATTTTTACACATGGAAGATTGTCCGCCTCTGAAGGAAAGCCATACAGTAAAAATGAGGCAATAAATTCTCGCCTGGGTAGGAACAAAAGACCCACATTTACACAGGTGTTTCGTAACCCACAGCTGTAAGTGATATCATTTCTAAGATGACTGTTCGTCATCTTTTGCCAAATATCATTTCATCTTTCAGCCGTATCATACAGCTGGAAGTAACTAAGTCATGACTTTAAAGTGTATAGGGGTGTATAAGGGTTTAACTCGACAATTCTTACTTTATGTCTGATAGGTAAGTAAAACATTCAGGTTTATAAAAGCCAAAATACGCTTGAAGAGATAGTCTTAACATCATCATCCGTAGCACTAGACAATAGTTGGTAATTGAAGTTACTAGCTACAGATAACCGTGAATTGTTTCTGAGTAAAATCATAGTGCGTACACAGAAGCAAGATCAGTGACAGTAAAATAAATAATCATTTTCTGATAGTGGAGTGACTGTTCTTGAAGCTACTGCCAAGAAGCTTCCAGCCCATGACAGGCTCTAGATAAGTTTTGTACGAATGTGCACACGAACAACTAAAGTACGCTCAAACCCTTAGTGTAAATTATCAAAAAAGAAGCTATAAAGGTGTGGGCAAATAGTTCTTGGTATTTGTCATCTTTCACTCAGTGTACAGTGATTTATCTCGCATTGGAGGTTGAGAAATATCAAAGATCAAGGACAAAGGAAATTAATGATTATACTACCATACTATATGGTTTACTGAAAATCATTCACGGCATTATGGAGATTTCACCCATGATTTCAGAGGTATCTGGTTATGAGATGGGTCCTTCATTCACTGGAGAACGAAATCGTAGGTGATGTGACGTAATATGCTAAGCCAAAATGTTGGAATTATTAAATCTGGTCACATAGTAGGGTTCGATTTCTAAGAAATTAAGTAGACGATCACTTTACAAATTATATACCAATTTTGTGATCAGCATTAATATCTCGTATGATTAAATTGTCCTTTAAACTGACGCGCTACTGTGTTAATTTGGTTTTTATTGAAAACTACCTAGCCAAGACCACCGATATACCTATCAATAACTGACAAGGTTTACTGCTGAAAAAATGAGTGATTAATAGCCGCAATAATAGGTCTCCTAGCATGGTGACCGCACTGCACAATAATCCATATAATTCGGTCAGAACTCAGGACTGGACAAAATGAAACTGGTTACTCTTCGGGGACCAATCAGTGTATGTAATCCATTCTTTAAGGAAGTTATTCACTGCCCAAATAGTTTAATGCTTAGGTTTCTTAATGTATATTTGGGTGACATGGTTTTTAATCTCCGATAGGGTTTCAGTCCCCTTGAAGTTGTAGATGTGCTTTGGTGACGAAACCTGGCAAGCAGGAAACTTTGACTAACAGTTTCTTGCTTATCACACTCAACTATTTAACACCATTCAGGAAGTCTAAGCTAACACGGTTATGTAGCAAAGTAATACTAGGTATTTTCCACCATATGATTCTTTCTATAGAGCCTAAATATTTATTTTATTCACGCATATCAGGAAAACAAATTTCATTCTGAAAAAATGATTGACTTTTTCTTTGAAACTTTAATAAACATCCGAGTTTTCTTCTCTCCTGAAATACATTTACAAAAGTTTTTAAACGAAAATAAAGTAGATGTCCTTGTGACCCTATGTTTTCGCAAAGAACATTAAAGTGATTTCCGACAACCACTTTTAGTGTCTAATGTTAACTGGCGTATACATAAATTAAATTCAGATTATCTAAGCGAATAAACTTTGCGAAAGCCTATAAAAAAAGGAGAAGGGAGCGACAATTTTCTCAACTCATATATTTATATATATACATAGCAAGTTTTAACTGTTTTGCTTAGTTCTAGAAAAACCCGCTGGGCAAGAAATCATTATTTTAGTCTTTCGGCATAACAAATTTTATACACTTATCATAGGTAACCTGACATTAAAGTGAGGCCAACAAAAGCGTAACATAAGGTTGAGGTGAGTTGCCAAAGTTTATCTAGAGTTAAATAAACAATTGGAATTTTTTCTTTGTGTAGCTTAGGGTTTACAAAAGATTTCTAACGATGAACATACAAGTGTAAGTGGTCTACACTGCGAAAAGCCATTAACATATGATTAACAAACAGATGTCTCCAACTTTGAACCTTGATACATTGAACAAATTAACTCCTGACATAAAGCACTGATACTAGTAGTGTAGATACAAATCAGTTGTCTAGTTACTTCAGTATCAACCACTAGACTAGGCAATCAAGTCTACCATAACTGATTTGACTTGAAGAGTCGACCGCCATCATTCAGTGTTGAGTGCATAAACATAAAATGTTGTTGAGACACAATTTGGTATGATTTCTGACATTCAAAGATTTACATAACATTGATGAAAAGCAACAATCTGAACGAAAAATATTCTTTTCAATAAATTCGCATCAGCTTCTACAGTTATGGAACGCATTTGTACAGCGTAAAAACAAACCAAGTTAGGAACAAGTACATCATCAAAATGCAGTGAGAATAATGACTATACAGAAAGCGACCTCCCTTTGTTAAGTTGTCACTACGAAGATAACATACACATAACTGAATGATGTGATAGATGGCAAATGAAAAGACAACCAATAAAGAAGACAAGGGTGGCCTTCAGAGGAAGAATCACTTTCGAACATATTCTTTCTGAACGCAAACTTCAGGTTTAACCAGTCTTATTGCTACAGCCTCAGGTATTTTGATTAGGGGTTGGAGATTTACACTTCGTATTACTTTTGACACACGATGTATGACGTTTCAAGCTTTATTAGCATCTCTGTGTGGTGCCTTGTGTTTACTAGATGTGTTAGGTTTGAACTTTTCACTACTTTCACTTTACCTTTTCTAAGCCAAGTTGGTAAATTCACTAATATACGGAAATGCACCGGCCTAATTGCACGCCCTGTGTAACTTGTTAAAAACAAATAGCTAAACTGATAAATGCAGAATGAAAGGCTAAGATTAATTAGGCTATGATTTAATGTCGGGTTGAGGATTGGTGGGATACTGAAGAAGATATACAAAGATGACCTGCATGCAACTTTTTTTGACTACACCTTGTGATTGGATGTCACTTGGAGAGTCTCTCTTTGAAATTTAATTACAGAAACGAAAGCTTATTCTCCACTATCACCACTTCCTGTTCGGGATTACTGTAAGCCATGCTAGCTCTGATTAACTTATCTGTCTATCCGTTTTCACTCAGAACATCACGGATACACGTTAGGTTTTCTTCCCCACGATCCTTGAAACAAATCGATGTTACTCTGAGTGATAGACCCTTGATTATATTACGTTTGTAAGCCATCACGACGAAAATGAGAAAGTGTGTTTACTGTACCTTAAACGTTGGTTTTCCATGTATATATATATATATATATATATATATATATATATATATATATATATATATATATATATCCCACTGCACAGCCATCTTGTTTTCTTGTGATTAACACATCAAGAAAATATGTCGAATCACTGATTTCACTTTCATATGTAAAATGAACTGATGGATGAGAGCTGTTGAGGTGTTTCGGAATTGAATCAAGGCATCACCTTAAGGTAGTGAGATGATATGAACCTGTTAAAAGGTAATACGATCTTTCAGAATGCAGATGTACTTGAATGAGTTTACATTTTGAAGAAAAACATATCTACAGGTTGAAACGCTGAGAATGCTGATTCTTCGTTGTTCTTGCATACACCTTGAAAATATATTATTGAATTGCTTTAATGCATTCGAAATTAATTTGAAGCACTGAATTTAACAGTGCATCGATGAAAAAAGCAGTAATAGAACAACAGATAGATTAGTATGAACTACGTTTAAATTAACAGCCATTATTTAGTGGGTAACCAATTTTCCAGTGTTAGAAAACGTTTTGTGTGGTTAAGAACAAGAAATTCTAAGTTATGTGAATCTATTAACCGCGTTCAGTATGTTAGACTTCGAGCACGAATCAAACCAGTCAAGTAGTAGTTCTAGCCAAGAGCAAACTGCACAAAATTAAGTGTATACGGACCAAAGAAAGGAATGATTCAGTATTCTTAGACTAATCACTGGTTTATTGTTGCTCTTCACAGCTCAACTTCATTCGTAGTACAATAAAAAATCAAAGAAAGTTTGACATTATTTCAAGTGTGAACTTTCTTAGATGTCTACGCGATTAATTTTAGGTAGACACAACATGCATCAAGCATAGTGATAAAGTTTTGATTTTCACTAACTGAGTCACACTACAAATTAAGTGAGGAAGGTTAACAAATATTTAGTTCAAACTTGGGAATCTCTATTTTCAAAGAAAGGGGTTTTTATTGTAAAGGTTGTTTTCTGGTACACTTAAATGTTGCTTCTAGAACAGTAAAATATTGAAATTCCATGCTCTTTAGATTCTCATGTCATTCTCTTTGATACAGATTTCAATCTAAGCAGTCACTGACGTTGCAAGAAATCCTTTTATTAAATGGTTTTAATTTTCCTTATTTGCAAGATGAAAGTATAATGACCGTTTTTACGTTAAATTACAACATATCAATATTCATTAGTTAAGTGAAAATTTGCATGAAATTATCAAAAAATATACATACCTTGTAATTTTAAATATTCTCAGTAGACGAATACTCCGTAAAGCAGAGAATCCAAATGAATCTGATGGATAGAAAATTTGCCAAACTATTTCGAACAGACTAGCAAAAACAACCTGTTGATAATTGACAAAATTAAGTATGAAAGATAATTATTCTCAAGACAAAGAAGACAACACACCAATACATTTCTAGTATTCAATAAAAAGTCAGTCTTCTACAAAACAGGTATTAGGTTCTTTTGGATGGGGTTAGTATTTAGGATATAACATCATTTTGTTCCAATTTAAGCGATCTATCAAGATACTTAAACACTTCACTGACTGAAATGAGCAAGATAAAACTAAGCTTTTACTCACACGGTATATAGTACATTCTTTTTTATGAAGTAGGTAAGAGCTTAAGCTTGGAATAAATTTCGTGGTAACAATTTTTTACCACTTGATAACTAGGTTTTAAGAGAAAATTGTAATCTTTCCTCATAAAATAATTTTAGACTGCTACCTGGCTTTTATTTTCATCAGTTTGGCTTGATACACACTTTCAGGGTCATATACGGTTCTTGCATGACAAAAATTCGCATCGTATCGACTGCAGGTGGCGGCACAGATAAGCATGTCAAAGAGAGGATTGAAAAAGAAGACAGGCTTTCATTCACCTGAAATCAGTGTCGAGATCAACTTCACCCTGTTCAGCATTACGAGGAAGATCCGAATTCAAGTCAGTGCTTCAACATGGTTCAGAGATTAGTGCGTTACGAAAAGCATTTCCAACAAAATACAGATATTCATCAACTGTCCACTAATTTGCACTTCACGTCATTGCTGAACGGTTTACCTTTTATCGCGACATTTTCTCTCAGTAAATAAATTCAATGTTAGATGTTGATTTGTCGTTCTGTAAGCTTTTTAATTTTGTGGTGGAAATTTCATCACCGGGCTTGGTTATATTTTCAGTACTGGCTTTATTCATTCAGTCACTCACTTATTTATTGAATCTTTATGAGCTTATTGTTAAGGATATCACCATGTCTGGCGCAAATGAGTAACAAAGCTTAGAGAACACCAAACAACCTTCAACTTTACCCTGAGCTGCGAATCTTATCCACCGTCCAAAAGAGGCATATTTCATACAATTCTTCCCACTCAAAAAATTCAATAAAGCGAAAAGAACAATGGTAGCAGAATTAGCATGCTAATGTCAAGTCAGGGCTTCTATATGGTTAAGAGATTAGTGGGTTACGAAAAGCATTTCCAACAAACTACAGATATTCATCAACAGCTACCGTCTACGCTAACTCAATACAGAGCATCAGATAGATGGCCAGAATAATAAGAATAAGCAACAAAATCTGTGGCCTGCCTACAAACCAACGAGGCAAGAAACTATCGCCAAACAAATGTACAGAAGAAAGTGGAGATGGAGATTGAGATGGTCATACACTGAGAAAACAATTCGGTGACACCATGCGACAGGCCGTCGAGTGGATTCCAAAGAGGGAACGACGAGTTGGGTGTCCGAGGCGAGGGTGATATGGAGGAGATGGTGTGAGGAAGAAATGAAGGCTTGTGGCAGTCGTGAAGCCAGGTTGAAAAGAGTGCAGACAAGAGAGTGAAATGGTGACGTGCTACTGAAACCCTATATTCCACTGGGAATCCAAGGGACAAATAATATTAATAATATTTCTTAGACTCTCCTCAGCTGCTTTACAACCTATAGAATCTTTATGATGAGTAACACAAAGCACTTTAATAAATCGGCAAAGTCTTATAAGAATCGCGATAATCCAGGCAAGAGGACTAACAATTGCGATAGTAGTTAACAAAGATTCAGGTTGACTGACATTGATGAAGCTGTTAAGACTACTCAATGGTTAACTACTTATGGTGATAGAAGGAGCGTTCGAGAGGAGATAGAAAAACAGTAATGCAAGCAAGTATGTACATATAAATAGGTGGGGAGGGGAGGGGCGTTGCGTACGTTCAATGTCATTCTAGAATTGGTAAAAACGATGTGACAGTTAGCTTAGTGAGAGGTCAGTAGGCTTTAATTATATTGAGAAGGGAGATGAATACAAGTGAGTGAGTGAGTGAGAGTAGGTTTTGAAATAGGTGAAAAAATGAAGTGAAAAGAGAAATGATGGGGCATGAGATCTTGTAGTAGCAAGTTTAGGAGATGAAAATTGCTGAGGTAAAGCGAGATTGATGACAGTAACTTCCTGAAAACATAGATAAGCTAACAGTTAAATAGTGAGTTTCGTTTTTTATTGGTCACTCTTAACGACTTTGATAAGTCAACTTTATGCCCTTATCAAGCAAATGTAGAGCAATTGAAGTACTGGAACACTGACAACCCTTAATGCTCAAATTTTTTGTAATATGTTCGATATTGGGGACAAGAGCGTTTCGTTTGATATACGCATGCTTTCTTACGTATATGTGAATTGGTAAACATTGTTGAAAGTAACAAAATTTGGGGATTTTATCACTTTGGAATATCTCAAACATGATTTAGTTTGATACATATGGACTGACGTGGTGGCTAGATAAGTGATTTTTATTGCAATACTCAGTTGTGACTCACGTTTGTGGCGATTTCATCCCCTTTTAAAGGCAAGGTATAGTTTGATGAGATTTTTGTCAACTTTACTGCACTCTACTTTTTCTGTTTTGTCCTACCCTATTTGTCAATGATTTGTTTTCGGTAACCATGTTGGTTACATGTCAAATTTGTATCTTAATTATCCTGGTAAGGATTTTACTACATCATGCACTGACCATTTCCTTGTGATACTGAATAAAGTTGAGGATAACAGTTAAATAATTAAACTGTAACCCCGTAGATAAAGGAAGAATTTGATAATTTAGGTCATTACAGAAATCATCAGTACACAAAAGAAAAAGGCCTTAGGAAGTTGTTAGATTTCATTTAGTTAGCGTTTAAGTTACTTTAAAATGATATGAGATACCATCAGGTTTCCTATCAGTTATTCCCTATTAAATGTGAGTTAAACCTTGATCTGTGCGCTGCACTACTTAATTTGCATCGTCATCAAGGGAAATCAGTTTAAAAAATTATTCATTACTTGCTTCGAGATATGATACCCTGAAGTTCTTATGAAAAGTCACGATCTTTGGGGAGACTGAATTGAGGTGATTACAGATACTGAACAATGGCACTGAATGAAGATTGCGCTATGTCACGAACTGACACGAGGAAGGAATATGTTGGCCATTGGATTCCAATCCGTAGTAAATACCAGATTAAAATGGGATTTACTTTGTTATCTCTCCGTTTTTGCTCAGATCTCATTACGAATTATATGATAAAAATAATGTGATTATTTTATATGATACAAATAGAAAAGATTACATGTGAGTGTACTGACTTTTCAACTTACCGCGAAATCAAAAATATTGAATGTTGAGCGAAAATAAATTAAACAACCTAGTCCATAAATTTTTACAATCATTTCAAATAGAAAAAGACCAAGGAAAATAAATTCTGAGTAATCTGTTATAAAAACAAAGAGAAGAAGTGATCGCAACAATATTTTCTATTGATGAAATAATTACAATTAATAAAACAGCATAAAATAAAGGAAAGAATGTATGTTTTTAATTAGTTAATTATTATTGTGAAATGACTCATAAAGGTTGGAAAAAATTGACCCTACTTATCGAAGCCTCAACGGCCTAATTTAAAGTCATATTTAAACATCTCTCTGGATGTTACTGGAGACGGTTGGACTGTATGATACATAATTTAGAAATGGAAAACATCAATCACCTATTTTGCAGGAAGATACTTTCTAAGACACTCAGAGGTTATGAAGTTAACATTTAAAGTGGTTATAAGAGAAGAGAACATACTACTCCTCCTCTGTTTATAGTCGTTTTTCGTTATGGTCACCTTCATTTCATATGCTGATAGTGATTACTGAATTCTGGTAGTCTGTAACTATATTTACGTAAGTACGATATTCTTTTTATTTCACATTTTAATACAGTTATTTGTTCAGTTCAGTAACCATTCTATGATACTGGTCACCTCTGTCTTTGATTGATAAAATGTGTGATAAAATATAGGTCAGTTAACACATTTAAAAGAAGTAAGTTACTGGCTGATTTGAGCCTTAAGTATTCTACTAAACGTTTTGTAGGATGCTAACTACTGAACTGTAATCGGCTACTGTTTATGTCCCCTGAAGGCATCTCATTGCCAGTAATTATTAGGCCACCACAAGTAGCTAAGTTCATGAGTTATATTTTACGCTAAGGTTTAAGTATGTATGCTCATTGAGTTTTTGTTGGTGTTAAAGCAAAGGTATAGATCTATACAACTAGTTCTCTAAATCTCTATGGAATCCCATGTTGAACTTATAAGTATAGTGTACTCATGGGTTAAATCGAGAAGTCACAATAATTGGATCTGTTGATGCATAATGTTTTATGTTCTCTGAGATAAGCTTACAGAAATCAAATTTTGTACACCTGAATGGTTGGATGAATTTAATACGCCATTAAAAGATCCAATATATTATTGTTAAGCATTCAGTTTCTGGATGATCGGATTAGAACCTTTTATGTACCATAGAGTATACATAATCTTCTTCAAAAGAGGGGATACGAAACTAATTACATGAGCATGCCAACGTTTATTTAAACTTCTACATTTACTAGGATTTTATTTCATAAATAGTCAAGTTACACTTAGGTACTGTGAGTCACTGACTTTCTCTCACTTAGTTCTTATAAACGTTCCTTGAAGAAATGGTGTTTTATTAAGTGACCATTGTTAATTCTGTAGTGTTACACGAAGACAAGATAGCTAACTCTTTTTATAACATTTTAGCATGTAATATACATTTCTAAAGTAGTACTCTGAATCACACGTTGTAAGTGCTTAGCTCATAATAAAGTGTTTCACTACATAGGAGTGAAATCACTCGTTAATGCGCTTCCAAAAACTGAAGATCATACTCGAATTTCGATGAATTACAAGCTGAGTAGGCTATGGAGCCTGCATATTGTTTCATTTTTCTGGATAACAACTTTGTATTATCTCAGTTCCTACCTTTTCTAAAGGAAAATAGCAATATATGATAGCTATTTTGACCGATCACTTGCTATTATTATGTGACAATTATTTATGACTGCACTGTGTTATCAAATCCTTTACGCGTACATATCAGTCCGCAGAAATATCTTGTCTACCTTTATTCACCTTTTGAAGAGCATTCACTCTTGGTTAAAGGAGTAACTTTTTCCCCTGGATTTTCAAGTGTTTCATGCAACATTAAACAATGGTTCTTAAAAAACTTCACTAGAAAGCTTTAGATTTTATTGCATATTTGATTTCAGCTTCAGAGTAGCAGTTAACGTAATAAATTTTTGAAAACGAAGTACACAGATTCATAATGTACCCCATAAAGTTATCTAGGAATTGTGAAGCGAATGGTCTTCAAAAGATGGTACACTAGCAAGCAGAAATGGCTTTTAAACACATTTCCTATTAACATATGCAACGCTCAGTAGAACCCGCTGGACATAAGTTGAACTGAATAGATAAAGTCGAACTGTAAACTACTGATATACAGGACGAGAACAACAACATGTTCAAAGGTTGAATAACGAAGTTGAAAACTAGGTATTGGTGGTTTGATTTTACATTCTGTATGATAGTGTACATTTGTTACATCGACTGAAATAAAAGCCCTTGCATGAAAGGATACTTATGAATTATACTAAAAAAATATGATTAGGAAATAGGACTAAGCATAAAAACTCACATAAGAAATCTGTTAACCAAGCTGGTTGTCCATAAAATTCTATAGAGACACATAATGCATTAAGCAATACCAGCATAATTACAAACATATAAAACTTTTGTGATTTTATCAGACGTCGTACTGCATATCTACAGTAAAAATATTAAAAATAAAATGTGCAGGAAAAAACAATTAAAATTTAATGATTATAGGGAAGTTTGAAATGTAATAAACTATATAACCTATATTCTGCATCGGACAGTTCCCCCTTGACTACACTTTTCCTAAAGATGGACTATTTTAACAACTAAAACGGGAAACAATATCACTGAGTAAACATTCTGTATTATTCTAGAACCTTTTCTCATAAGTAACCCTTTTACAACATCAGTGTAGTAATCAACATTTTTGATAACGGCACCTACCTTCCCTCCAGCTTTCTATACTATAATATAAATAAAAAGATTCCGCCTATTGAAATGTGTTTTCTTGATAACCACAGTTATGTCAGTGATAAAATGCCTGTTTTCTACGATGAAGAACATTATATGATTTACTGAGCTCCGGTTAAGCGGCGGCCTGCTTAAATCTTAGGCTACCAAAAAAAGTTCCACCAATTAAATTTCAATCGAATTCTTTTCTATCAGGTTGTTTAAATTTTTCAAATGTCTTTTGAACGCATCATGTGCTCTCGTACGTTTTTAAAATGTTTTCAAACTTTCGTTCTCAAGCTAAGAACAAAACAAAGGAAAAACGTTCCGCCGGTTGGGAAAGTATTTTTAAATGCCCAAAACACTACATTACTACTCCCAAGATATCTTTAAGGGATTGTGAAATACTGTGCTGGCTAACTGAACTGACATTAAAATTACACTCGATTTTGTGTTAATTCCTGAATCGAGAACAGATGCTAATGTTACACTAGCTACCCGTTTCACTGTTATGCCTTCAATACTGTTATTACTAACATTGTGCAGAAATAATAATTTCTTTTAAAAATATTGTACGGAAAGCGAATTTGTTGAAATATTCTATGTTGAAAATTCCATACTTATCATACATGCTGTTTGTTATAAAGCGATTATTGTTATAAAATATGTTAGTTGAAAATCTATGGTGAAGTTTGTAGAAAAATATGACGACTATTTATCTGGTATGGGTCAGCAGTAATCAGCAATAGACTGAAATATTACCAAACTATATAAGTTCAATCACTACTACTTTTACTTCTGTTACTAATTATAGTAATAGTCGTTTGATTTCAAACAATATATATATGATACAGTATGGAATTCTCAGCATGTAATACTTCAAAATATTCATTCCCAGTACAATATTTCTAAACAAAATGATTATTGCATTCAAATGATGTTAATGATTATTGCATTCAAATGATGTTAATGATAAGAGTACCAAGGCAATGATGTGAAACAGTCAGCATTAGATAAGCGTCCGGTCAAGAGTAAAGAATTAACCGAGAAGTATCCGTGAGTTTGAGGGTACCGGTTAATTTATTCAGTACAAGAATTTTGCAATTCAAGCTAGGTATCCAAGGAATAGAAATTTAATGTAGTTTTTCCCACTGAAAAGTTCATTTCTATCTAACGAGGCATTGTTTCCTCCATTTTGTTGTTAAATTGAGAGACGACTAGTTGAAACATTTTCAAAATGTGCAATAGTACATGTTTCTTTCACGGAACATATTTAAGTGATATAAAACAGATTGAAAGGAAAGAATATGATGTATGCGTACAGTTGAAGATTTCGGTAGCCCAGAGTTCAAACAAGCCGCAGTGTGTCTCAAACGTTTACTAGTGTATTACAGTATTTGTCACATTATTAAAATGTTGTCATCTATGTTCGAGCAACTCTAGTCATGTTCATTAAACTAGGAAATCTTTGCGGTGCGGTGAATATTGAGATGATTTTATTTCTGTCATGATAGTCCATCGCTGAGTGAACTGAATTGATCGGTCTGTAATAGTTTATGGGCTCATTGCCGTTTGGCTCGATGTTGTCTGTTTGAATTATACATTTACGATAGATGGTGGCTCGTGGCTGGGTCTAGACTGCCCGTTTCGTTCTGTTTGCGACTAGTTAGCCGGTTGTACCTGCCTCTGAGTGAGCTATCGTGACTCGGTGGTTTAATGCGTAACGCTCTGGCGTTTGAAGCAGTCGTCCCCGAGTTCGAGTCCCAGTGAGAACAACATCACTCACTGGTAAGCAGGCATATCTAGCCGTCGTGCTCCAAACTAAACGAAACGCATGTCTTAGATTCTACTGCTTGTCACTGTCCATCAATAATGTAGGACATACTAATTCTAAACCTTTGCTTTGGATAAAACGACTAAATTTCATTTCCCGGTCCCCACTATTTTTGACAGCCAATAATTTTCCATCATAACTTTCATCGAACCATAGTTTGATCTAGCAAACTTTGTTGTTTTCAATAGTTCATATCATCTCTAGTCGACAGATGGATTTTGTCAAACATCTAAAACAGTGAATGCATAGTAAGACTTAAATCCGATACAGGATTTTACCGAAAATCTTTTCGTATTCTGCCCATAAACGCGATTAGTACATATGTACATGAAGTACAAATTACGCTATCGAAATTTCATTTAAGTAATTGTCATTGTTATTATCGATTTATAAGAAAACGCTGGAACGTAAGAACATCGTACAACACATGAACCTCAGAACAACTTACCGAAATCGTTTATGATACTGAAATAAAGTCTCAGTTCCAGGTATCTTGAATTTTCTCTTTGCTTTCAATTCTACGCATAATTCAAGGGAAGCGAAAGAGTGGAGTGGTTAACAGACATATTCTTCTAGCACTTTGGAATTTGTATACTTACATGCATCATTAATTGTGATAATCAAACAGACTTTGAATCTTCTACATTTTTAGGCTGATATATTTATGTTCATGTGAATCACTCAATGAAATGGAGCAGTTAGGTTGTGAACAATGGTTGTTATTGATGGATTTCAAACAACCTGACCTATAAGTGTTGACTTCGTGTAAACTGTGAGGAATCTATCTTTATAATTGGTATCGGGCACTACCTGTGAAGTCAATTTAAAGGCCACCCTAGCAACTTCTAAAATGACCAATCAAGTTATGGTATTTCAGCTAGAATAAGAGTTTTTTATAAAATAAAGAGACGTGGTTGGTTATCTCAATCGTTGCTAGGGTGGCCTTTAAAATCACTCCAGTCAATGTGTGTTTCATTAAAACTACAGTTAGTCATTGCAAGCGGTAGTATACTGTTCAGTACTCAAAATCTTCAGCTTAATGGACAAGAACTAGTGATCCACAGGCTGTAATTCAGTAGATGCATTTTTTCAAAGGCTTTTTACTGTTTCTAAGACAACGGGAATTTGTTTTTAGACATCTTTTGTTCTGGTACATTTACTCGGTTTTCTAATAAACGGAGTGTTTCGTTTTTAAGCTTTATCTCGATTCTTTTAAAATTCTATGGCCGTTTTCACTGTTTTTATCCTACATATTTTCTCGTATTACACTTCTCATCTTGGTATTTATTAAGTTTGAAATGATGAACGAAACACACATGTTAAAAGCCTGATTTTCTGTTCATAAATTGCGCTATATTATTACGAAATAATATGTTAATTACTCAGTTTAAACTAAAAGTGGTTAGGGTCTGTTAAAAACAAAACATACTTTGGATAACTCTCATTATGAACGAAAATAAACTGTGGACCTAACGTTTTGTAACAATAGAGCCTCATCCTGTAAATGAAGCATAAAATGCAACCAACGAACCAGGCAATCTGGTATTAAAATGTATTGTGTTCCCAGGTCAGAAGTCTGGTGTTATAGTACTTACAGCTGTGAACTTGAATTTCATGCTTATATTACTTCTTCAGAAAACTGATATCGCCTCAACGACCAGTTCAAGCTTGCATCTTTATCTTTAAGATTGATTATCAAAATGCATGTAGAAAGTTTTAAACTGTTTCTTTTGCGTAGGTTGAATTTCAGAGACAAACAAAATTATGACTTCGGTTCGTTTAAGCGTGTTGTCAGGTGTTATTGACTAATATTTTTGTTTCTGTCTCTCTGTCTGATATTTCAATTAATCTACATTCATTTGCGAATGGAGTTTACTTTCCAAAAAAGTTTCTTTGCTCTGCGTACATCTTCCCTGAACTTTGTTCACCCATTTGTTTTTAATTATTTTCTCCAGAAAAATTGTTTTTCTTTTGTAGACTCATCTAGTGTGTTACGGTCAGCATTTCAAATAGCACAGATGAAAGAAACTGTTGAATGGGGCGATAACTTACTCAAATATATTTAGTCTTATTTTCATGCGAATGTTAGGATATTTAATGTTCCGATTAGATGCATGCATACAACCGTATCCATCAGAATCTATTGCTGCTGGATATTTAGCTATTCTGAATCAGTGTATATAACGAATCTATAGTAATTTCCTAGTTTTATCATTTTGAAACACTTATAGTGACCTTAGATCAGCTGATAAATTGTGTGTTAGATCTTCAAGTAGTATCCAGGCATCTGCTTAGGAGGCCATTTACAAACGGTAATCAAACAAGTCGCTCGGGTATAATAACACGAAACAACAATTTTTTAATGTATAACAACTGATATACATTTCAAAGGGGGTGGCTTTGGTACATTAGTAGCTTACTGGAGAACATTTTAGTGTTTAAAGCGTTTGGTACTGGGTTCGAGTTTCTGCAACACCATCATTCACTGGGATGCAGGTACATCTAGCTAATGAGTTCAAAATGGGGCAAACCTCCCATCCAGGTTTCCACTGTAGGCTGCTATCAAGCAATCTATAATATAATTAGTAAGTGTTAAAATAAATTATCTGAAAGAGTTAACTAATACTTTGAAGCAAAGTACAGCTTCTGTAACCATTCGGAATGTTCAAGCTATCGAGAAAATCTAAGTATGAATAACTGCTAAAATAATCGACAAACTTACCAGCCTCATAGTTTTCCAGTTCAGCGGCGATAGCACGTTTCTCAGCATCATTCGATCTCCTCCTAATTTTTTCTGCTCGTTTTCTGGCTATCATGACAAGAAAAGCAAAACTTATGTGAGAATGTTCTTATTTAGGATTAGAATATCTCAGATTTTTTTATCTATGTAAACTGATTTCTCATCGGAATGATTGAAACTTACAAAAATTAAAATACTTCTGCCTTTATATATTAAGTGAGACTGAATTTTCTACGCTTCTGAGCCGTCCAAATCATTTGACAGGGATACGTTGCTGTAGTAATCAGTTTACCAGCAACATACATTCTTACTCAGTATAAACTCACTGCCAGTATCTGGTATGTTGCCATGCAAGTTTTATGTAGCCTCACGAACCTCAGTGATTATTATTTCAAACGAAAATTATGTGAAGTGGTCAATTTTGAGGGTAATTTTAATTAATCTCTTCATTTATTGTAATATTTTTTTAAATGTAGAGTGGCACATTAAGCTTATATAGAAACATATTGGATAGCGGCAGTGTGTGAATTCAGTCTAGTCTTGTTATTAAAGTCACAGTTTGCCTCCAAATGGAAATATTCAGTGTTTTTAAATGGTTAGGAGTATTTGTATCTCACCATAAACTTTGAGCTGTTAATGTTATTTATAAAGGACACAGAGCGTTCGCTTTCTAACTGTGTGGATTTGAGGACTCTTAACTACTGGTAATGTATTCTTCGTGTTTAGAAAATAAGACCAAGTATTTAAGCATGCAGGATTGCCTGTATTATTCAACTAAAAGAACATGTGATCCTGATAACTGTCTATTCAGTATCTCATATAAGGCAATGTGCTAGAGTGATGTTCAGTCAGTATGTATGGAAACGAAATGTGTTTTAGCCAACCTATTTGTAGTGGAAAGTGGTTTGAAAACGCCACTGTAGCTGGAAATATTTCTTTGAAGATTTGTTGATTTAAAATCTTTCGGACACTTTTACAAAGGCAGTCAGCAGGAAGTTCTACACGACCTTGGTTTTCTGTTTATTAGCACTTTTAGGCAAGGCGTATCTCTAACCTTGACACAATTGATGTCCCTCTCGAGAATCCAAGCTGTCTCACCCATTACTGTAGTCAGCCATGTTACCAGTGTGCTATTCGAAGAGCGGTTGGCCTCCCGTAGGGTCGTGGTGCATCACAGAAGTGTGCCTCCTAGCCTGGTGGCCACATATGCGACCGATCGATGGAATTCGGTTAACACCCAGGACTGGACAAGATGAAACTGATAGCTCTCCAGTAAATAATCGACAAACTTTATCTATTGGGTTCATGATGTGATTATGGATTTTATAGATTTAGTTCAGTAAATTAACAATCAGAAAATTAAAGCGGGAATAACAACTAGTGTCTTTTGTTTGCCAGGTATCCATTCTAGATAAGTAGCCTAGCAGATATTACATCTGGTTTCAGTTTCAACGGAAATACTAGCCTTAAAATGAAGTATAAATGCTTAGTTGAAGGGTGTTAAATTAGTTGAAATGTGCTCCCTTGTTTAAACTGTTAACCACTGTTCAACAATTACTTAACTGCATAAAATTTCATACTATCATAATTTTTGAACGAACACTTTTGCTCAATGTTATAATACCCAATTTTGCAAAGATTTTCATCCCTACTCATTTATTTACTTGAGATTCGTCTACACAAATAGTTTGTTACTTTAGTATCTTAAATCTTTTTGCAAGGAATTCAGTGTGAAGTTGAATTTACTTACCTTTAATAATTTTTAGTCTTTGCATAAATGAAGTTTGTTCTTCAGCTAAAATGACTTCCTCTAAAATTGGAAAACAAGTAAAAAGAAAGGAGTGAGAATCATATTTTTTTTAACTGGCTACTGTCAAACAAGTATAAATTTTGAAAGCGTTACATTTGTATAAGCAGTTAGGCGGCTGGTAAGTGCATTAATGATGTTGACTGAAAAACGCTGAAGTTATCATCTAAAAGCAATTTGTTTAGATACAAATACAACATTCACCTGTAATTCCTATTATAAGTAATTATAGATTTATTACTGACTATAAAAATTTCTGTCATATCTATTACAATAAAGGCAGACTTATCTGAAGGAATGTTATATACGCATGTATATGTTTAAGACAGGATTCCATTTACGCTTTCTTTGTTTTGAAGAACTCTCACTTTTACCAACAATATAACTTATCACTTTTGAGATTGTCGCTTAAAAATCCACATTAAGTGATGAAGCATAATGTGTTTAGTGAAGACTTCCTTTTTTAGCCATATTTTGCTCAAATTGTACAATTGCATATAAATATTACATTCACATGGTAACATAAAAGGAATGTCTTATAAAATATTTTTGTATGAAATATGGTTTTGATTATAAATCAAGACACCGAAAAAAAAGAACTATACTGTTTGAAATAGTGGAGAGAAGAAGACTTATCAAGACCAAAGTAATATTAAATTATCAATTTATATGATGCAATATGGTGAATATAATGAGAAATCATAGTTTTAAGGGTGGAATGTTATATATCAGAAGACGGTGTTCTAGTGAGTAGATGAAAGAAAGGATTTTTAAGATGAAATGCTCTTACAGGTGATGAATATAGCAACTTGGACTGTTAGACAAACCTCAGGCTTCCGGAGTTTGGAGATGTGCTAGGTGTACATCTTCCATGAGGCTTGCACGAACTTTATAAATGACACTAAAGTTGTTTTCTGCATTTACTGAGTGGTCATAATCGATCGAATGTACTGAAATATAGCTATAAGTTGCTTTCTTTTTTGCTTTGTGGAATTCGAGATGTATATGTTCGAAAATTTGCTTGAATATGGTCAACATACCTTACTTACTCTACGGAAGCAGATGAACTGATAAACATGCATAGAGGCGACCAAGGAAGTTAGCTTAAACTTTACGCATAAACAAATCACTGCGTAATTGGAAAAAAATTAATCTGAGTTTAGTGGCGTAGAAACTTTTTCTCAGTGTGCGTGCTAGACGGTTGCGCAGTGTATATACTGATAGGTCTCTGCAGAACTGTCAAATCATGAAAAGCGGCTTCTTATGAGCAGTGGAAGTAGAATGGTTGTTTGTTTGTAATTTAAGTTTAAAATAAATTTATCTTCTCTACGATGCACACTGTTTTTTTTTCACGACATGAATACGCGCAATAAACTCAGTTGACTTTGAACTTTTCATTGCTTAGGTTAGCAAATGTATAGAATTCTTTAGTAGAAGTACTGCAATTACATAGTTTACCTTAATTACTGTATTGTAAAGAATTAGATTTTGATCGATTAACAAGTAATTGCTGCTCAGTGTAGGAAAAAAAATTATTATTCTGAGTTTGTATTCATCGTGGACTGACATCATTTGGAGAACCATAAAAGTCGGAGAGTCTTGAAGAGCTGTTTTGTCCTAGTATGAGGCTTCTCAACAGTGCACACCCGTGATACCACCAGGGATTGGACTCAAGACTTTCAGATTTCGTGGCGACCACGTTATCGTTTAATTATAGTGTCCGAATTCAATGGTAGACATTTTTCTGCTTCACATCATTGGTAATGTACTGTGATCTTCATCCACTGTCATCGTTGTGTGATTGTCCTAACGTTTGACTTGGTTTGCAGCACCAGTCAAGACTTCTCACTGGAACTTTAAGAAATCTCATCCCGAAGAAAGTCATAAGTGAGCACTAAAACGAAATCCAACCTAGAGATTTGTGTAGATTTTATTGATTTCGAGTTGGATGACTGGATGGATAAACCAAGTTGCAGATGAGAGCAGTCATAAGTGTGCACTGTTGAGGAATCATATAGTAGAACGAAACAGTTGTCCAGCCCATCAGGATTTTCACTGGTTCTTAAACTGATATCGGTTTGTGATGAAAACCAACAGAAAATCAATAAAACTCCCATAAACTTCGAAATTTAATTCCTAGGCCCTTGGAATTTTCCTTTTAAGATTTATTAAATGCGATGAAAACTCTGAGAAATGGGTAAAAAAGAAGTGAAAATCATTAAGTTTAGTTGTACCGTTTCTACTATTGGTATTCTAAAAAATGCATACAAGAATTCGATCACGTGTAAGGTCGAATATAAGACATTCAGCTCTAAATTAGACGCTGTAATCAGCAGATCAAGACAATTCAATGAAAGCTATTTCTCAACCTTATTCTAATCACACTTTAGGACTCTAAGAGTTTTGCAATCATGAACAACTTTTAATGTTTGGGTCCTTGATAACCTCTGTAGTTTTTTTGTTGTATGAAGGAGGATTTCTAATGAAAAAACAATCTCAATTTCAAAATTAGTTTACATTTTATGCTGATTAATTTAAATTATGTCTTGCATGAATGATTTCCTATTAATTTTGTAATTATTTGCTCTGAAGCGAAACTGTATAACGGGCATTAATAAAGTAATCAATCACCTTTGTTTTGTCTCATAATAATGATGACAATCTGAGTTTAGCTTATGTCTGGTTAACTTGGATATTTGAAATTATCGAATCCATTAAACAATTTATCATTCAGATACTGAATCACAATATTTTTGTTTTTAAAAATATCCTGAAGGTACCATACTCGTATATTAACAGGAATAAAGACTTGGTCGTCTAATAAGTATGTCTTTTGTAAATTTTGAGTCTATCCTGACTAACAATGGACTGGAAGGTTAAAAAAACCTTGGCACCGAGTTAGTATGATTCATCGCATAAGATGTATTTTTACTTATGTAATACCCACGTAGTATATTAGAACAAACAACAAAATAAACAAACATTTTGCATTATCCTTCAATGTTCTCATCTCCCTTGGAATATCCTTTTCGAGAGTATGAGTCTGACATTAAGTTTTAAAATAAATATTAGCCTGGAAACTTAATGTTTTAGTGCAGAAGGTGACCCTTACAATCATCCAATTACACTGTGATAAGGAACAAACATCAACATAATGTAGGTGAGCGAATTAGCAAACTGGTCAAAGAAGCTTTTTCCCAGTCGCGTAAGGTGGAAGAAAAATATGGTGGGGGAGATTTATTTTGACTATGAAAAGTACAATGGGGTTGTGCGTCACCAAGGCTGAGAAAGAAGAATAGTTGCTGAGGTGGCCTTTAAAGGCATTCTATATCTGAACATCAAACAATATATAATTATTAATAATTACTATTTATGGATATGCTTGTAATTCTCAGTTGTTTTACTGGATCGAATTGTTCTACCTCTGTTGGAGTATTGGCTTCTACGCGGATGCCTCAATTATTGCCTGAATATTTATTATGGTAAACGACTTGGTTGTGGGTAGCAGAGGAAACCAAGACGCACACATCGTTGTATTTGCGACTCATCAGCTGGATGTACCTGAACCCCAGTGAGTGATGTTAATGATAATGTTGATAATAGTGATGCCGATAAAGGTACTTTTGATAACGGTTGAAGTATGAATGATAAAAAATGGATTGTGTAATATACAGAATTGTTCATAGAATGCATATAATTCCAAAGGGAGCGTAAAATTGATGGAAATAGATCAGTAAAGTATTACATAATAGGATTAGATAAATCATGAAAATACAATTAATATTTTTTTTGACGTGAATTAGATGACTAAATGAAATAACACCGGAAACTAGTCAAACATTCATAAATTTACAATAAATCATGTAGAATATAATGAAATGAAATTATGTTCTACCTATTCTTTATATATTATTGGTAACTGTCTGTGAGAGTGACTGATGTTTGCGATATTTGTGGGCTATCTAATCCATCTATTCCGTTGACCGAAGAGAAGTAAGAAAAAATGTACAAAGCTTCTACAATATCCTGTTTTTTATGAGAAAGAAAACCCTTTCCTAAAACTTTTGTCTTAATGAAAAATATTTTATTTTCGTAAACTTTCTTAGTTCTGACGAATCCAATCCTATGATGTCAGAGAATGGAATCGTCAAGAGGTAATTTCCCATTGACCTTTTGTCGATTTCATTGTACCTACTCCTACCTCAATCGGCCACAGAGATGAGATTTAATGTATGAAATCCTAGTATTTGACGTTACGAAGTCAGGAACCCTCCTGATATAAATTAGTCTTGAATGGCTTTGTACTGGAATTCTGGAGTAATGTACATACATGCAGAAATCATTTATTTGACTGGACTAACGCCAGTTGTTGATAATAAACTACATCCGAATAAATGTTTCGAATTGTTTTTTAATATCATTGTGAAATATTTAACTTTTTACTGAAGTGAAAGTTGATAGACAAATATCTGAGCATTAACCATTATTACAAACACCTAGACGACAGTCGTTTCGAATGTCTTCAAAGAACCCTAGTAAAAAATGATTTCCCTAGATTCATAGACAAGAAATTATTACCAAAGAACACAGTTGAACCGATGCACTTACTGTCCAAAAAGATTCTTTCGCAGAATCTTGGATTCAAGAATGACATTAATGCAGGCATCCTCAAAAAAGAGCAGTCACGATTTTTAAGTAGCACATACTTTGCTGACAACTTTTGAATCATTTTCTCTCAAGAGAAACCTTTGGTTCATTGTATGAAAGAAGAGCTAACAAATCAAGTCATATCAGTATAGGTGTATCAGTTTACTTGCTACTATGGGGCTGGATACATTAGCCGTGTTCACTTGAGAAACGGACTTCAGAACAACATCCAGCCTAGCTAACAAAAAGAGAATGCACCACCAGCTCAATAATAGAACACCTTGTAGAATAAAAACGTTCAGCTCCTTTTGGCGACTCCTTCAAAATCCTCTAAAAGGGCTCAGTCTAACCACCTAAAGGAAGTGAAATCAGGGCGTTTGGTTGTAATTAAAGTTGAAGTCATTCAGAAGTTCGAACGGTGCTGTATCCAGAAAAGTATTTTCAACCTTTATCTTCGTCATGGCCATCATAAAACCCTAATGGCTCTACACAAATTTCGCGTCGCATAATTATATTTATTTTCGCTATACCATGTTTATTTTCTGGCTGTAAGTTCTCATTTCTATGACGTAACTTCATTTCACTGTTCAATATAATTTGACTGCTGATCGGAAATATTTCTAGAATATTCTGCTCTTTCAAATACATATTCACGAATGAACAGCTCAGTGAATGAATTAGTCAAAAAAAAACTTTCTCCTTTACATCCCTTCTGTCTCTGAAGGAGAGTAATAAGTTGGAATTTGTGAGTAGGTTCTAGTATATACTATTTTATTCCAAAATTATAATGTATTTCAGAACTGCTTTAAGTCTTTCCTAAGTAACAGGATACTTATTATAGATGTGAAGAATGAATCGTGACTTCATGACTTGATTTTACGCGCTATACGTAGTGGTAATAATACACGTATGTTCTTATTTCCTATGAATTTCTCTTCGGTCATAAACAGTTCCTCATCTTTCACTACTCGTGGTGGTGACTATTCATTTTAGCGAGAAAAAACAAGAATGAAAATCTGCTCAGCAACCTTGTACACATTCGTGGCGTAGGCAGTGAGTCACACCTAGTGTGGGAAAGCTGATAATTATACCCGGGTACTCAAACCTCGTGGGTAGAGCAATGTTCAAACCGATGTCCTACTAATTAAAAGCCATATCCCTAAGCCAATAAACCACAACTTACTCTAGCATAGATGATCAAAATGCCTTACCCCTTTTTAGAGTATTTGTTGAGGCATATAGCTTGATTAGTTTGAGTGTATCTTTAATAATGAAAATACTATCATGAAAAGATTACTAAGGATGTACGAATATTTGCAAAATAAAGGTGTTTAAATCAATAGAAATGATTTACGACTGTTCAGCTGGTACTAACTGACAAAGAAATCACTTACAAAGTGTTCTAATCTCGGGAACGAATAAAACCAGCAGTCATAAAGACACTTTCAATCTGTAAACCTAGCTGTCTAACGAAGAAATAATAGAGGAATTCTGTGTCTGTCCATCTTATTTCCTTTTTTGAGATAAACAAAACTTGGTAATAAGCAATCACTAATTTGTGCAAACAATCTGATAAGTCGTCATCTTAGTTCCTTGATGGTAGCTCTACTATACACTTTTGAATATATGAAAGTGAAGTCAAAAACAGTTAAGTAATTGCTCACAGAAAAAAACCACTTAGAAATTTGTTCTGATTCCTGGATAATTTTTTGCTTTGGTTGCCGTAGAATATAAAAATCTTCAACACTTTTTCGTTATTTGGTTGACTGATAAACTTTTTCCCCGTTCAATTTCTCCCCTTGTTATCAGAGGAAATTACCTTGACATTTTGAAAAATAGAAATGTGAGGAACTGTTTTTTCTTAACTATGATCTAAGTGCATAAGAAAATTGACAAATTATGAGGTTAATGCGGTTCAAAGTCCATGTTCTCCCCTAACTCTTGGGCTGATAAACAAAAGACCGTTATTTTTTACTAAAAGTACCTTTACTATGATTTTACTTTGTAACGAAAAGAATGGGAGGACAAATTTACAACCAAGTACTATCAATGAAAAAAAACTAACCAGCTATTTGTATCCAATCCAAATAACCGTTCAACTCGCGATCAGTTTGCTGTTGTCTACGTAGTTTTAAAAATGCTCGTCTTTTCTCAACACGTTCACGTTCTTTAGCAAACTCACTAAAAGTTAGAATAAAATAAGAATATCACTTTGAGCATTTTAGCTACTTCATGTGAGTTGACTAATAGTTTTTGTGTCCATTACAATTGTTTTCTCTGATTGCCCTTCCCCCACCAAAAAATAAAAATCTTTCGTAATTCATGAAAATTATATCACTTTTAGAACCGATTGTGAGTGGTTGTGATGACATTGCAGATGTATCTCGTGACTGATAAAAATCACTTCTGAAACATAATCACATGAAGAGTAGACTTTAATCAGCCTTAAGCTCTACAGATAAGAAAACTACACCGGTTAGCCACTGATCGCCATCTAGTTTACACAACTCATTCCTAAGGCTGTTCACAAGTGATCTGAATAGTTTGTTTGTAAGGTCTTTGAATTCAGCGCTCAGTCAGGTAGACTTGCATCACTTAGGAAACACTACTTTCCAAACGATTGTAAACCCTATTTCCCGATGAGTTTCAACACGCACAAGATGTAGGTTAAGGTGATTTTGGCAACACCCAACCATCTGATGTTTGACATGAAATGACAACAGTCTTCAGTCCTATAACTTAATGAGTGTCGGGGGAGAGAAGTGATCAGTCAGTACTTCATACTGTTTCACATGAGTTCATATTCGCCCGAATACAAAGTATTCAGTTATTTGATAATATTCATTTACTTGATATCACTGTGGTAAACATGATGATGTAAACACGTTTCTTGACCGCAGATCATCATAAAGCACGAATTCGCTACGAACAACTGTATTTGATGATATTTTCAACAATTTACAGCTAACAAATCTTAATTTCTTTTTGATAATAAACGAACTCTGAATAAATACCACACCCGACGTCCTAGCAAATTCAATTTTTGGGGTCTGTGGAGATTTTAGTGATTCCAAGTTGATATTCATCACTAACTAACATCAGATGAAGAACCACTGAAAATTTGGCAGAGGTGAATAGCTATTTCGTCCTAGTATGAGAAACCTAAACGTTGTACACCTATATCTCCACCGTAGGTCAAGCCTAAAACGGTCAGGTTTCACTGTGATTAGTATAAAGAGGCAATCCCCTACTCTTACATTCCAACAAAATATGAGCCTGCGGTCTTACCTTGTCAGAGAATTATTGGGAATCTAGTTGAATTACAAAACTTGTTGAACGTAAGTAAAGAAATGAATTTTAGGCATATTCATCTTGGCGACTGGAAGTGGAATCCAGGACACGTGTTTCATCCGATTCGGGACTCGACAGCTGGGAACAGCCACTTCCAACTGATTAGTGCTATTCCCGCTGAGACTCGAACTCAGTATTCATCGCTTCAGATGTCAAAGTACTAGCCAATAGACAACTGGTGTACGTTAACCACCTATTCTGCAACATGTATCAAATGTTGTTTGATACTTGTGACTACCTGTTGCTATCTGGGGTAGAATTTATCGATCTATGCTTACGATGGGCTGCGATGCGAGTGCTTTGGTGTTTGATGTGATGAGTATTGGGTCCTAGTCTCAGTTGGAACATCCCTCACTAGGGTGCAGGTACATTCGGCTGATGAGTTTGAAATAGGACGAAACTTACACCCTGGATTCCACAGTGAGTCGCCAACATGAATATAACATCATGAATATCCCGCGCTATCGAGGCATCTGTATAGTCGCCATATGCCAACAGAGGTTAAGTAATTCAACGTTGTATAGCAACGGGAAGTTACAAGTAGCAAACAAGAGTTGTAGTTTCATTGCATAGAGCCTATAGTTGGCGTTAACATAGCAGCAGACTCTAACTTAGAATGGTTTTATGTAGTAGAGCAGCATTTAGCTAACAAGGTATTCAACGGTTGCTAACTTTAGTGGAAATTTAGTTGTTTATACCATGACAATATCTAGCCTTATCTGTATGGATTACCATGAAAAGAGTTTGAAAAGTCAGTCTGATGACAAATACTGTAATTTAAAAATGGAAAACAAATGATAAAACAACTCATTAATTATCTTAGAACGACCGAAAATATTCTACTGAGAGACAAATGATTTGATTGCGAGACTTGACAGCTGAAAGTTTTGAACTTTTGATAAAATGCAGGAATTTTTTGGTAGTTAAGCATGATAACCAGAAACGAGATGAAATGAGATGCTAGCTATAACAATTTCTACTGTATATCTATCCACAACTTTAAGTTTGAGAGAAGAATCTTTAGCGCATAACTCAAGTTATTATTATAAACTACTCAAGCTTTGATGATAAATGGTTTTGAGAGAAAGTTCACCATTTTAAATTCTTCTTTTCTTACTGTTTTTATGGATAAAAAATTAGTTGGTATATATAAAGGGAACTGGATATTTTTTAAAATAAACTTTGAGTCGTTCTTCACATAAACAGCAAGTTGCAGTTAGAATCTTATTCTGAAATGCCTGTAAAGTTTAATTCCATCATAGTGCTCAACTTATGCTTCACTATAGTTTGTTTCATATTCACTTCAAGATCAGTCATGACAACCAGTCGATTTCCGGTTAAGAATTCACCAGTAACAGTGTGTATTCCTAATAAAGACAATGGATGGTGGCTAGTTTCACTGGAATGGGACGTTTCGTAAAACGGGAGTTCTATCTGTGATATATTTGTACTCAACAAAAAAAATGTTATCAGGTTATTTTCCGAAGTGAAACAGCAACAGAACGACTTTCTATGGAGTTATAAATCCTGCAGATCTCAGACTGCCTGCTTACAAATATTTAAGCTGGGATCTCTAGAAGATTAGGCTAAGTAAGTTGATTTTGGTGATGAAATAGCAAAGCCTATTACAGCATCTTTTGAAGTAATGTTAATGACTTGCAACAATGCCTCATACAGAAGTCTTTGGATACATTACTGTATTACCCGTAGAGGTAAGCGCTTCTACGGAACTATTTTTAAATCCAGAACCTAACTCAATGTTTGATGTACACGAGATTCGTTTTAAATACAATGCTAAACATAAGCAACTAATCTCATCGAGCTGATTAATTCATGGGATAAAAAGTTTATAAAAAATGTTTCTTAAATATATTAGCAAACGTTCTGAACAATGAAATGGATGTTTAGCTAATGATTTCACTAACTGCCTAGATAGACAAGGAAAACTAGATTAGGGGGCAATTTTGTAAACCACCTTTACATAGTTAAAGGTATGTCAAAGGACAGAACTGATGGCTCAGTGAGGTAACAACGTCACAATCTAAATATTAATAGTTAGAAACTACTCAGAATGATCTGTAGATTTCAACGGGCACGTCAAAGTGTTCTCAATGTCTGGTGGCCATTTCACTCATTTGGGGCCAAGCTCATCAGCTCATAGAGCCGAATCATTCAAATCACCTGAGTCTGACTACCTGACTTACAGTGACCGGCATATTAAAGTATGAGGACTGATTTGCAAACTAAACGGTTCACGTTAACATTTCCCACAGCTGAACAGTTTTCCGACTGTCCAACTCTGAAGCCGGTCAACAGGGTTTCCTTTGAAAACCACCCCACATCCAAGAGCACTAGGTGTGATCTCTGACACAAATATGTCACGGATTAGAGAAATATGCTACTACCAGAAACGTGAATAGTTAGATGCACTTCTAGCTGATCCATGGGTGTCGCGAGGACAAACTCACAAACTAATCTTCTATTGGAATTTGATGATGATGAATTGTCAACCAATGCAGCAAACCTATGCATGAGTCGCCTAGATTGAGTTAAGTAAGCTTTATTTCACCTGATACTAGTGGATTTCAGCCAAAGGTATAACGCTTTGGAATTTAGATCAGTGGGTATTGGATTCGAGTTTCAGTGGGAACAACACTCAATGGATTGCAGGCATATCCACCTGAAGAGTCTCAGGTAGGACGAAACGCCTAACATTCGTCCCACTGCTAGTCGACAAGATGAATTTCAGCATACATATTTTTATTACGATATCTGTGTGAAAAAAGGAGAAGGGAGAAAGACAGACATACCATAAAGGATAGTAATAAAGACGGATTGATAAGTTTTGAAGAAAAGCTTGATAATATGATTACAAAAAACAGTAACAGGATGGGTTTGACATAAAAAACTAACTACTTTTTAACACAGAGAGGGGCCTAAATTTTTGTATAGCTAACGCTTCAACAGAATTAAGTATACGCTTCTAGCAATTTCTATACAAATTTGTAAAGGCTGTTCTAATATCAGTACTGCGACGCTTAACAATAATAGGGTTTGCAATGAATGATGATGACTGTCTGCCATCTATCTGCTTATAGGTATTTGTGAAATTATCTGCTTTTGTAGCTATTTTGGTGTAAATTCCAGCACTCTAACGTTTAACTTTATTAATCCTTTTTACTTAAGTGTCTGAACATAGACAAGTAAAAACTGGTACGCGTAGAAAGTAATTATTGGTTCTAACTGTATTCAATAACCTGTTCTTCACTTGTGTATATTACAGGATATGGTTGCCTGAGAAGCGTTTCTTTTGCAACATAGTGAACAAAACAACTTTTTTGCAGTAAATCTAAGGGTACGGTGTAATTTGTGAATAAATTAGAGACATGGGACCGGTTTACCTTTTTGTAACACCTTGCTAGCGGTAAATATGATTGACAAGAAGTAAGATAAGAAGAAATTTGCGAAGTTGGTTGCTTTAATTAAATATGTCCAAAGAGGTAAGAGAGGTTCAGTAACCTCCAAATATCTTTGAGGATTTGCCACAGAAATTGTGTCAACACAAGATTCTTTCTGTTATAGTAATCCTCTAGTATATAACCTAGTGTTTATGAGTTTATTCGTCAAGGAATTGCCTATTATCTAAACATTTACAGATTTCAAATTAATTTCTCCTGGTAAAACTATGTTCTACTAACTAGTCAACTTAGTAGTATTTTCAGATGTCTGTGATTTATTGGGATATGCTGATATTCATTGAAATATGCGAAAGATTAAACTATCCGTAAAATTAAAAGAAGACTCTATGGAATTTATTTTTAGATTGATAT